GTCAGGCTGCAGCCATGTCCTGAATTCCTCGTTTTCTAGCCACTTGTGTTGAATTTTGCATTTTCTCATCCTCTATCTTTTTCCCCGCCTCAAGCTTCTTTTCCGTACATACGGCGGAACCAGTTTTCTTATAATATATCTGACGCAACTGCTTTTATAAATGTTTTTTTCTTTTAATCAAATCATTTTAAATGCTACGATAATCCCATTTAATGAATTTAAATGCAAATTAAGGCCTTCATTTAAAAAATAATTTAATGATTTTTAATGACCCGCGGAAAACCCTAGTTTATCTTGTGGGTCTTGTTCTTTGGCAAACTGGTGACACGTCTCAGAAACTTTATCTAAGCACGCCTGCTTGAACTGATCTTGTAAGTCTGCATTTTATTTATTTATTTTTTTTTAAATGACTCCAAAGCACTCTGACTCTCAGTTTGTGTAAATCAGCCATTCCTCTTCAATTAAACGCTGTTAAACAAACCTTTTTGTGCTTAGTAATGAAACCAGCTTCAGTGAAAAATAACTGAAAATAAAACTGTTAGTAAAGCTTAGCCCTGTCAGCTGATGTATTTACATATATATGAACTTAAGAAATAATCCACGGTAAATTTTAACTTATGCTTACTTAAAATCTTTAAAAAAAAAAAAAAAAAAACCTCGAACAATGCAGATATCAGATGACTCTTTAAAAGTTCTAAATACACTGGATGCTTGCTGATGAACCAATTGTGCAGAACTTCCAGCTTAACAGGTTTTTTATATTTTTCTGTTTCTAATTTTGAAGCAGTTTAATTAAAATGAATAAGTGTGCAAAAATGCATCTCTATAAATCCACTATGTTTCTGTGTTATCAGCTGAAAGAACAAAGGGAGAAAGAGCGCAAGGCCCGGAAAGCCAAAGCAAATGGTGAGGATGACGGCGGCGAGTTTGATGACCTTGTGTCTGCGCTGCGATCAGGCGAGGTCTTCGACAAGGATCTGTCCAAGATGAAACGCAACCGCAAGCGGATCAACCTCCAGAACACGGACCCTAGCAGAGAGCGGCCGGTCACCAAGCTCAACATCTAACCGTCCATCTCTCTCTGCATTGCTTTCTCTCGGGGTCAAACCGACCTGCACATTCCTCTGCCCTTTCATTCACCACCAACCAGGAAGGCATTAATTTATCATGACCGCGTCGCAGAGCCATGCACCACACAACACGTTCAGATACTGTCTGTTTTTCCTTATTCTGTTATTGAGAAATGAGAGGGTGCAGAAACCAAATGCCAATGAAGTGTGAGCAAATCAGTTCAGTTTGTTCGGACGAAGCTGGAGAAGAGCCTCCCTCCAGGTGTGGGAAATGCTCGTGGTTGTTTGATAGCATCCCTTCTGTGCTGCTTTTTTTACATCAGAATCTATGCACAAACTAAGATGTGCAGCTTTTAGTCTCCTTTAGAGCGGGTGCGTTATCCAAAAAAGAAAAAAAGAGAGGCCATTTTGTACAGACTGGTTTCATCAATCGAAAGGAGGCCAGGTTCAGGTACCAGAGGTGTCCCACAGAGACTCGCTGACTGTAACACTGGGACAGATGCGATTTAAACTAACAGAGAAGCAGGGATTTTTCTATTCAAACTGATGGGGAGCATTTATTATGTCATGTGTATGTTTCATTTGAACATTCTCCTGCTGAGAGCTGGCCTTGACTCTGTTGGTTTTATTTGTTTGGTGGGGTACTTTCACAACCTGAAGCCTCTCAAAGTGTGTGAAAACTCATACATAGACCACATATATCCAAATATAAGGGTGTGTGCCTTGCACATGCATATAGACGTATATAATTCTTACGCTAGATGCCATTTTAAGAACAGAATACAATTCTTGCAATATATTTCCTCACCACTGAAGAGAGTCACCCTCCTCCCCTCCAATGTCTTTATTTGAACAAATTAAATATGTTTTCAGCACACTGGCTGGATTTCCACTGCATTAAAAAAACCCATGTATAAGTTACTTTTTATTTGTATTTCTGCTTTGTGAATCCATCCCATGTCAAAAAAATCCCTGCTTACCTTTTATAATTTAAATACTGCCTTCCATTTGATCAGATATTAATAATTATTATAATAAATGGGAGAAATTATGTCTGAGTTATGTCTTGAACTTTGTTTAAATCATAAATATCCGACCTGGGGCTCCACCTAGTGGTCAGTTATAGTTGCAACACTACATGAAGCATGTTGATGAATGAAGACACACTGTCTCAGTTTTCCAGTTGTTATTGTTATTTTAGTCATGCGTTTTCTTTATTTAATCCCAGGGGAAAAAACTTCACAAGATTTCAAATAATATCTTGCAGTGGTTCAAGCACTTCATATCTGTCGTATCCCAGAGTAATCAACCTGCTTAAAGTGACTCTCACTTCAGCAGAAACCCCTGGGCCAGCTTGTCCTCCGGTTCTTGCACAAAGCGGGAAACTCCGGTGTAAAAAGCTCAGCCAGCGACTTCCACCACAACTGCCCTGAAGTCTCCACAGCTGGTCTCCTGAGGAGGAATGGAAACACCAACGTTTACTTGGTATGGATAGGATAAGGTCTGTGGGGAGTCACAGTTTGCTCAATTTAAGAGCCAGAACTGAAGGTTTTTCCTGCTCATGTGGAGAACTGTCTTACTTTAAATAAAAATATCAATAAATTAGGATTGATGCTCAACTTGAAAACCTGTTTTTCTAAATATTTTTCCAAACTGTATCTCAATGTCAAGTTTAAGGTATAAAAATTAAATTTCCTTTCAATTAAACCTAATCTTTATCAGCCCCCCAGAAGAAGTAAAAATGGAAGAAAAGCAAACTTAAGACAATGCTCATGGCTCGTCTAATAATCTGTTCTCTAGAATATGGTTTGACTGTTAGAAAAAAATAAAAGATAAAATCTGCAAACATGTCCTCTCACATTGATTAGGAGGCCAAAGCTAAATGCATACTGATGCAGACATATTAAAAAAAAAAAAAACTATTTTTAAATCTATTTATCTTCTTCCCACTTCAGTTATGAAGTATTTGGCTCAGTTAAAATTCTTGCAAAAAATGAATTTATGGTTTTGACTTAAAAAAATGTAAAATCCTTCTAGGGATATGAACACCTTTGTGTTGAATTGCATGGTGAGTATTTATTTCAGCCAGTAGATGGTAAAAACATATAAATCCATGTAATCAGTGAAGATTTCTCCTGCCTCAACAGCTTTTCCTGTAAACTGTGATCCGGTGGCTCCGCTCTGAAACGTCCTGGTCTGGTTCAGCTGGATGAGACCTTTGTGATATTGAAGAGCCACTCGAGCTGTAACACCTGAGCCGGTGGGGCTCCGGTCCACCTGCAGGAGACACAGTTAAATTGATATTATATTATTTGCCAATATGTCTCTGGGAATAGATGTCCCAGAGCTAGATGTTAGCCCAGCAACTTAGCTTTTACAAGCAAATGGAGACCATATATGGAAATCTGAGAATAGAAATAGGGGATAAGAACTAAGGGGTTAGAAAAAGGGACAGGAATGAGTGCATAAAAAGAGAGAAAATAAAACTGTAAATAGAGAAACACAGAAGATATAAAGTAGCTCCTAGACGTCTGCTTCCAAACCTGCATGAGGCGAGAGGGACAGAAAACGGAGAACATCACAGAAAAAAAAATAAGGCAACAGACAACCAAAGTAAACCTCAACAAAAAGCTTCAAGAGCAGTGTGCATCCTTATATATCCGTGTGTGTGAAGTCAAAAACTTATGGTGATTACATATTATACAGGTTGGTGTATATATATATATCTGTAGCTGCAGCTTAGTATTAGTGTGTATCCGTGAACACCTGGAACCAAACTCCTGTGGTATGTATGCATGAGCATGCTTGTGTTTAAAGGATTTACAAAGCTGCTTCAGAAGGAAAGTGTACTTAATAGCAGGTGTGGGTGGCCCCAGACCCACCCTACAGGGCCACGGATTAATAAAGATGCAAACCTGGCCCCAGATACCCAAAGGCACCTCAGATCATTTGGACACAAGGAGGGAAGTCATAGGCAGCCAGTCAGGGCCAGGGTGGACCCGGATGAGAGCCCCAGTGTCCAGGGGCTCACCACCTCACAGCAGGGACCTCACAGGGCCAGGAGGCCCAGGCCCGGCCCCGCAGCGAGCAGGAATTTCACTTTTATTTTTGAAATAAATGTCTGCTTTAAGACCAAATTGGAATTATAATTTGTTATTATTTAGACGCCCCTGCCGAAGCGAGGCTTAAAATATGAAGTCTGTAAAAACCAGAGTAAGACAGATGGATGTGCAACAACATACCTGAGCTTCGGCGAACACACAGATGTTAGCAGTGGGCTCAAGGGAGAATTTATCAAGTCCATCTGTGAGGATGGTCCCATAAAGGAAAGCCAGATTGTCACTGATTGGATGGTGCAGCTTCACCTGCAGAGACCAACAGGATTAAGGAGAGGCGTGTTTACAGACGGGTAATGGGGGAAAGCTTGTATATATGTGCACCTAGAGAGAAAACTCTGATTTCATTAACATCATGATAAGAATCGTTTCTATTCCTTTACAAAAAAAGGGTTTCCTACCTGGGATTTAACAGCTCTTGTAACCGCCGTCGCTGCGTCTACAAGATCCCGAGTCCTGGACTGCTTCACATCCAGTCCAAACCTCTGCGCCTCAACAAAGGCGTAAAAAGCTCCCCCATAGCTGATGTCCACCATCACCTCACCAAACCCCTCCACCTTCACCATCACATCTGGTGTAGAGTCATTCATTCAGAACTTCAAACCACCTGACTATAACTTGTGTGGAAATAAAAAGAAGACCTCCCACCTGTAGCGAAGGCAAATGCTGGCACACTCAGAAACCTCACTGCTCCCGTTTTACCTGCAGAGTACTCCACAAAAGCCTTCACCAGCCCACAGGGGCAGTGGATGTTCACCTGCGTCTCTGGGGACTGAGGCTCCTTCACCAGCTTATAGTCCACGGCAAAGCGGCCCAGGGCGATGACGGCGTGCCCGCACATCGTGCTGTAGCCCTCGTTATGCATGAACAGCACACCCAGGTCTGCCTCGGGCAGCTCACTGTCCACAATCAGAGCTCCGTACATGTCATAATGACCCCGGGGCTCGTACATCAGCACCTTCCTGAGCTGGTCAAGGTGCTCCAAGACATACCTACGCTTCGAGAGCACACTGTCTCCCCTGACTTCTGGGTAGCCGGCCACAATGATACGGAGAGGTTCTCCTCCTGTGTGCATGTCGACCACAGAGAGCTCCACTCCCTGATGTGGAGGAAGCTGCAGCTCCATCTCACATCTGCCCAAAGAAATGAAAAACACACATTGATTTTTACCATAACTTTGCTCCAATTAGTGGAGCCTGATTAAAGTTTAATGCAACACCTTTCCCCTCATGACAGAAAGCAATACATGAAATCACTAAATTAGTAAAAAAAGACTTTTTATGAAAGCTTTAAAAGGTTTAAAACTATTAATAAAAAGAATGGCCTCAGACAGAGGGAATAACAAATGGCACACCAACTGCGCTATGCAACAAGGTGGTGGCTGCATCATGCAAGGGGATGGCATTCCTTCAACAGAGAAAAGAAAACTGGTGACAGTTTAAAACAATGGTAAATGCTGATCACTTTAGTGATGGCAAAGACTAGAGACTGAAGCGAGAAACAAGGTTTAAGGATTTAGAATAAGTCATTAGAGGCAATCTGCAGCTGGTCTGACTGAGCAGAGTGTTTGGGAGAGACTAAATGTTCAAGCTGCCATATAATAAAGACTTAAAGCTGGAAGTTAAACAAAATGTGAGTCTAAGGACACACGTTTATCACTATTATTTATACGAGACAGTAGATTAAAAGTAAAACAACATCTAATTCCCTTAATGATGTGAATAAATACACTGTGACCAAAATAATAATAATAAACTTTATTGTCATTCCATTGTCACCCTCGGGGAGCATGTTCATGTTAATGTCTAAACAAGGCAGGAAAAAAAACAATAAGATGAGGACTTTGAAGCAGGCATTATGCTTTTAATGATTTGGAAAAAAGCGTGAATGGTGTTTCGCTTCTTGAAAAGCTGCGAAGCAACTAAATCATGGCAAATACTTTAGGGTGAACAGCTTTAAAGTTGTAGTAGCGACACTGAAGCAGCGATACTTCCCTCAACAGAATGTCAAAAAGAAGAAAAGGCTATTTAAAAAATAAAAAAAAAGGATTTCTGGTCAAAGTCAAACTTCTGAAAAACTGAATCAATGTTTAAGGGATTTTCCAAATGTTTTGTTTTACCTGAAATCAGCGGATCGGAGTCGACGAGAAAAAAGTTGAAATTTGGCGCCACCTGTTGGTCTGGAGGACCAAATGAGGCAAACCGCTAGTTTAGACTTCTTCTTCTTCTATGGCACTTTACAGACTATGTGTATTACCGCCATCAAGTGGACGGAGATGTAATTCAGAAAGAAAAAAATAAATAAAATTTTCTATATAATACTAAATCCTCTCACCTAATTTTGTGTCTTTTAAATATTTAAGTGCTTTAACTATATCATGTGATTGCTAGTTTAGACACTAACAAATAGTGATTAAAACAGGAAGTTATTACCCAATGTATAATACGTTCAATTACCATTAGAAAACAAAATAAATCAAAATATCAGTGGCATATTTCTTTCCCCATAAATCACATAAATAAAAGCATCAGTCATAGATGATAAATATTTCCTAATTGGTGTTTAGGTATTTTGTGTGTTGTTGCTATACACTTGCTTAACCGACTTATTAACAAAGCCTTAGTAAAACTTAAATAATGCTGCTTGTCCTGTTCTCCAGTAGGGAGCTGTAATTGATCAATAATCTGTTGCTGCTGCAAATGAAATTTTAATAATCCTTTGGTTAAATTAGCCTCTGTAAACTAGATCTCAGTTAGGTTTTTGGATCCACAACAATATGTTGTGGAAATCCTCTACATAGATAAAAAAGTTTTAGTTATGTAGACATCTCAACTGATTTTTTTTTTTTTTTTTTTGAAATACTTATATAATTCAGATTTCCAAATAGCATTTGAGTTTAGTTGAAAATTTAAATTTAATTTAAATTCTAGTGTAAAACAATTCAAAGGGAGTCTGGAATTACAAAAAGCCCTCTAGGCTTTTGGACCATAGTGAACCAAACTGAGAGACTTTATCCCCAAATGGTGAAAACATAAAAAAAAAAAAAAAGTAATGAGCAGTTGATGAAAACGGGAATTCCATAAAATAAATAAATAAATAATTCTGAAGAAGAATGTCTGAGCATCAGCTCTTAGCCTTAAGATAAAACAAACTCGGGTTATACAGCAGGATAATGGTCTAAACCACAGTTCTGCAAGCTTTAATTTCCAAAATATATGACTTTTTAATTAAACCAAAAAAAAAAAAACTATTATTTTTGTTTAATAACTGACATAGGAACTCTGTTGCCATCTTAAAAAACCAAAAGTTTAATTATATGTTTATCTTTTAAAATAATGATAAAACTCTTCTGGTTCTTTTAATTTCATTTTGCTGTGAAAATCTGATTCAAATATTCTTTATAAAAACCTCTAAAGCCTCCAACACTAGTATTTGTTATTACAGTACATTAAAGGGTTCTTTATATTAATTTCAACCAATATAATAATATATATAATCCATATCCTAACTTTTCTGTATAATCTGTATATAGTTTTTCATATTTACTTATCTAAAACTCTCTCGCAATTACTCTGTTTTTATATATACACTATATATATAGTAAATACATACATAGTCTTTGTACACATGTAGCACTTCTAGATAGATGCAAACTAAATTTTGTTGCTTTGTATATTAGATGGACCGCATTAGATGATCCAAAGAGCATGCAGCTCTGCAGCCGCAGGTTGCAGACTCCTGGTATCAAACCTCAGGATCCACTTCTAAATGGCTCAAAAAGTCTTAAGCTTAAGTTTTACTGAGCTGCTGTAGAATGACTTTAAATGAGTCATATGTGAATAAAAACCCTCCTGTATAACAAAAGTGAAACAACATTTCTTTGCATAAATTGGTTGAACGACCGAGAACAACTTACAACAAATGCTGGATTTTACTGGTTGTCAACTGGGATAAACAATCAGTTATTAGTATCAGTATACAATGTCTTTTTTTTTTTAAAGGACAGGTTGGATTAGGTTTCTTTCTCCACTTCAGAAAATAAATTCCCATTAAAAACCTGTTTTGTATACAAGCTTAGATCAACTTTGTATAATTGAAACCATATCTTAACCAAAAGAGGGAATATTTTTAACACCTTTACACTTTTTATGATACTTTCTAAATAACTTGTGGAATGAAGCTACTAATCCTGTTTAGAAAAAAAAGCACCCACACTGAAATAAATAATGCAACTTTTTTTGGCATTTACTTACGGTAATCATATTAAATTACTTTAAAAAAATTCCATAAAAGTAACTAAATATAATTAAGTAAATGCCAAAAGCGGTTGCATTATTTTTTTTCTGTGTAAATCTTCATGTCAACCTCTGGAGCAAATATCCTTATGACCTTTCAACTCTTACTTTTCTCACTACCTGCAGCAGCGAGCTGTGCTACAGCACTGAATCAATTAATGTTATACACAATGTAAACACAGACAGTGGGTGAAGATTAAGTTTTTAGTTAAATATTTATCTCATTCCTCTTATGTGCAAAATACTTTTATTGTTATACAATTAAAAACATTTTGAAATGTTGTGAGCAGAAAAAAGTTACTTTTTTTTTTTGTTTCATGATGGTTGGAATATTTTAGTGCAGTGTAAACACACCTTAACCAAACCTCAATGTAATTGCCAAAATAACTGCTTTCAAATGTGACCTCTATTGAGACTGGTTTGGAAAGCTTATCACATACAGTACAGGCAGAATTTGATATGAGAGAACTTCTGCACCATATGTAGTTTCCTGAGGATTAGGAGCTGCTGATTATTAAGAAATAATAAAGTTTGACAGACTAAATACTCAAAGCAAGCCAGATATTAAGATAATGTCCAAAATATGTCATCCAGATGCTGTCTTCAGCTTTATTATAATTCTATTGAATATGATTCAGATATTGAATAAAACTTTTAAAACGAATAAAACAGTTGTCATCTGAAGTTATTCTAAAGATAAAACTGTGGCCTGATGTATTTCACACCATGCAACATCATTTCATATTTCCATGCCAAGATTAAAAAAAAGGAGGATAATGAATAACTCCTGAGGCCTAAACAGCTGAAATATCCCAGACTGGTGTGTTAACAGGTTTTAGCTGCTCCAAATTGTTTCTAACCTTTATGAGACAAAGATGTGCTACATAAGAGACCAAACAACAGATGGTGAGCAGGAATCTGTTTTCATTATTCATTTTACAGCTGACAGGTTCCCTCAGATGCATGCGAGGTCGCTAAATATATCTAACAGAGAGCAGATGTACCAAATCGGCCGGCATGCTGACATCATCACAGCTCACACGAACTTAATTGCTAGTCACGTATAATTACAATTCCAACCATGATCATTTAAATCATCTAAACAAAAAAAATATACCTGAGAAAGTTCAGTTGCATATCAGAATAATTTTTAGGTTACCTGTTTAAAATAAATCAATCGTACATGTTAAAGAAATGAAAGAGTATATAACTACTATGTTGCTCCATTCCTCTTTATGTGCACAGGGAAATGAGCTTGTGAACACATTAATGTGCAGCTGAATGATATTTATTATCACCCTTTAGCTCTTCATGCTTCCCTACTATGTGATAAAAGATGTAGCATCTTCTTAATAACACTCCTGTGGAAAAAAATAAAGGTAAAACCCTATGCATCTCTATATTGTAGGAGGCTTTGCTTTTTAAGGCACATATAGTTAATTGACTTCAAAGGTGGTAGCTTTAGTGCAGAACAATGGGGGAGTAGGATCCATTCTGCATCTGGAGCAGCTGAGTTAGCTCCAGTTTCAGAGGGAACAAAAAGCCCAAACTGTCTGTTTTTCTCTCAGACATGAGCAGATGAACTTCCAAAAGAGTTATAAAACAATCCACTGGACTTTGTTTCCAAGTTTGAAGATGTCTCGCTTCCCATCCAGGAAGCTTTTTCAATTTAAAATGTCAGAAATAGCTTTGAGTTTCACCAGCACAAGCAAATGAATGCACATCAAACATGATTCATTAACAAAAATCTGCAAACTAACATTGTAAAAGTAAATCATTAAATACATAATGCTGTGGTTTGGTCTTAATGAAAGCTTCATTTATATCTATGAGGAATCAACCCTGATCAGAGCGGCCGGTTTTTCGGTCCACTGCTCACTCCAGACTTACTTCATTTCCCTCTGTTCATCCTTAATACCAGAGTCAGACCTGAAGACAGGGGTCAGGCAGGGGCTCTAATCCTGTAGAAATAGATGTGGTTGGAGCTTTCTCCTTCTTTACGCTTCTTTACATCAGAACCTAAAATCTAAAAGCATACTTTTGAGGATGGGGGCCATACTTTCCTCATTCAGGTCTTATCTTCATTTTGGACTTACTGGAGTCTAGATTTCGTTTTTTTAGGAACAATTAAGACCATGAATGAAACTTCCCTAACCTAACCAAGACTTGACTGCAGCACAATGAATGGGTCCATTCCAGCTGTTTCTGGATAGTTTTCACCCATCTCAAACCGTTTGTCCTCCAGTTTTTCATTTTTATGCTAACAACAAACGGCCTTCTAATAATACAGTGAGGAAAAAACTGTTTTAAAGAGAAAAGTATTTCTCTATTATCTATTAATATAGTCATTCCTTTAAATTTCATCTGTAAACACTCATTAAAGGTGGTATGTTCCTTCCACTGTGTCATTACCTCTAGCCGGGTCATGCCTCTGTGTACCAGTGGGGATGTAGTTGATCTGTAAGGGGCGATTTGTAAACATACCAAATGGACTAAATGAGAAAATCAACAAATAGTTTTTATCTTTTTTTATATCATTTTAACTTTAAAAGACTTAGTTTAAGCATCACCTGAGCATCATTCGACAAAAACCCTTTGCTTGGATTGACGTGCATAAAAGCTGCGGATTAGATTCTGTGTTGCTTTAAAATTCATAAAATGTTTCAATTTCCAGCAATCTGTTGTGTTTTAAATTTTTTTTTGTTCATATATTGTTGCGGTGCCTTCTTGAATTACACTGCCATAAAAAGTGCACAAGATTCCAAAACAGAAATCCCTGGGTTTCGATGCATAGGTTACATGAAGTAGTATAAACATGCAGTCAAGTTTTTAGTGATCAAAAGTCTTCTAGTCCAGCAGGACATGCAGATTGTGGTTCTAAATATACAGTTTTGAATGAGGTCACAAAAATTCCTCTTCTGCTTTGGGTGCTACGACTCTTGAAGCCATGACCATGTCATGACTTTTTATCCTCGCCTTTGAAGAAGCTGGAGGCAGCGAAAGTCTCCTTTTAGATGACAATAATCTGAGGACTTCACTAACCTGTGATTCTAGGAGTGAGAGCCGGCTACTCAGTTTCCTGATGTCCCCTTTGAGCTCCAGTTTGGCGTCGTGCAGCGCTGTCTGGAGCAGGGATTGTTCAGTCACCGGCTGGAGGAAGGAGTGCCTCAGGGATACCTCTGTGTAAACCCCCAGGCCGTGCTCGAACGGACTCCTGTCCAGAGGGCTCTTTTCCATGGGGCTTCGCTCAAAGGAGCTCCTGGAGTCTCCGGCTCGGTCGATGCGCAGGTCACTTTTTGTGATGCCACTGTCGCAGGAGTCGGTTTTGTGCAGGATGCTTACTTCCTCTGCTGCTGCATTGCCCCCCTCTGTGCTCACCGGCTGCCCACTGTCCTCTGATTCCAGGTTCTTTTTGGATGCTGCCTGCTCTCCTGAGGCCTGTGGTGCTGTCGGCCGCTCTGCTTTCTCTATTTCATTTTCCTTCTGAACAACAGGAAGCACTGGTTCGGAAGATACAGTGCTTTTAAACCTCGCCCACCCTCGCCCACCTCTGCTGCCTCCACCAGCAACTGTACCACTACTCTCAGTAGCTTTTAAGCTCCTCTGACTCGGCATCAACTCCACGGTTACTTGGGTACATCCCTGCTCTGACTTTCCAGAGTCATTGCACTCTTGCAGAGAAGCAGCAATGCTGCTTCTTCTGCTTTTATTTCCCGCTTCCATGCAGGAATTGGTGCTGACTTTCTTCTCCTGATTGAAGGAGGTGGAGTCAGCTTGGTGGCTATGCCGTGGCTCCATCTGGACACAGTTTTGTTCTGAGTAAGTTTGCGTTTCATTTGGGGTTTGAGAGTCTCGCTGCTGCCTGAACCTCTGGAACAACTTGCGAACAGGGTGATCATCAGGAATGGAGAGAGAAACCTCACTCCTCTGCCGCTCCTGCTCTCTCTTCACATCAGCAATCTTTCTGAAGATTACCTGCAGCACAGAAATGAGAGCAATCACATACAGAGCAAAACAGAATCCACTGCATAAATATGCTACCATGTCTGTGATAAAACAGAGCATCTGTATAGTATGGTGCAGCCATCACCATGGGTGTTGCAGGGATGCATTGTTTAGGATGCAGTATAGTATTGTGGCCCTCTTACTTTTAAAAATGGCTTTCTAACAGCCAAGCCATCTTCAATGCCTGATTTGTGTTGTGCAGGACTAACACCTAACTCCCTACATATGAGCTGTGTATCTTTGCAGCTCTCCCAGGGTTACCATAGGGCTCCTGGTCTTTCTTTGAATATTAACATCTTTGAATCTCAACGTCTAGGTGGGTTTGTAACTGTGCCATCTACTTAGTTTTTCAGCTGTTGGTTTAAACAGTATTCTCTGAGAAGTTTTAAACTCTAGATCATTTTCTATATACTTACTGTACTTAAGATGCCTTTTTCTACCAATGGAATATGTTTAGAGGAATATACACGCATGCCACACTTTTCAGATAATTTCCTGCAAAAACTTTGAAAAGCAGCTATAATAGCTCCATTATATAAGATCCCAATGATATATTCTGAAAATATGGGGAAATGTTAAAAGCTGTATAACAAAAAATAAATAATAATAATGAGCCCTCTGGTGAATAAAAAGGTAATTAACTTTATTTTGTTTTAGTTGCACAAATTTGTAGCAGGTTGTCAAAATAAATTGCTGTAGTAAAAAAAAAAAAAAATCTATTCATCTCCTTTTTCGCTCTTAGTAACATTATATATTTATGACTTTGTTTAGTTTGTTCTGCAACCTCAGACATTTTCCCACACAAGCAGAGTCCTGAATCAACTTCAAAAAGAGTAACCATGAATACTTCATGAGATGTTGATGCAATAAGGTAATATTACAAGAATAAATGAAGAGCTTAGCCTAAAGTTCAGAAATAAAAACATGTCAGGGTCTTAGGGGGATAAATACAGTATGAGGCATGTGAAAAATCAAGCTCCCTGCGTCATTCTTTTACCCGTTTCCGTAGATTACAGGTCAGGATGAGGTTACGCGAGAAGGAGTTGGCGAATGCAGTGTAGAACTCCAGCACCCTCATCAGAGCTTCTCTCCTGATGACGTGCAGGTCACAGTAGGTCAGCGCTCGCACGTTTGCACAGGCTCGAGCAAGCGTGGTCTCCTTCCAGAAGACATCTCCGAATACATCCCCTTTACCTAGAGGAATCCACACATCATCAGCTTATGAATAAAAAGATAAAACTTGTTTAGTTTGAAGCCATGTTTTGTCTTCTCATAAATCAATTTGAATGCACTTTGATGGATATATTAGTATACTTGTCTACAGATTACAGGATTATAAGTCTATATTTTTACTGTTTAATTAAGACACAAAAACCTCTGTTTACATTTCAGATGTCATCATATCTCCAAATAAAACCAAGCCTGGAATTTTCTGTTAAAGTACCGAGTATTGCGATGACCTCATCATCTTGGATGACTTCGAGTGAGCCGGACACAACAAAGCAGAGGGTATCTACGCTTTCCCCAATGTGGAAGATGAGGTCTCCAGGCGCGCAGTGCGTGGTCTGGAACTCCACAGCTAGGGAGCGTAAACAGCCGTCGCTCGCCAGACGAAACGCTGGATGGTCGTTGAACACCTGCCTGTTGAGGTGCACGCAGATGTCTGCACGCATGTCCTTGGGACAGATGGAGAGAACCTTTGGGAGGGGTGGAGAGACAGAGGAGGTCAGATTTGGCTTTCAAGAGTGTTTCGTTCAAATCTAATTAAAAAGTAAAATATCACAGAGAGGTCAAAGCTGAATCTTCAAAGGAAAAGTTTAAAGTTGTGTTTTGCAGTAAGGTTATGAGCATCAATATCTTCCCTGTGATAGATTGCACACCTCATAACATTACCTTAATGAAACAAAGATTAGATTTACCCCTAAATAAAATTTCAATCCGAACCTGAACTAAAGCAGACTAAGCATTCATTCTGTTTTGATGCCAAAGTTAACTGAATTGGCTGCAAGCAGATTCTGCAATAACAAGGAAACAAACTTTCTATCTATTTTCATGCTCAGTAAAACGGATGGAGTGACTAAATAAGCATCAAATATGTTGCCATAGTATAAAGGCTTCCATTTTAACATAAAAGTCAAATAAGAATAAATCTGGAATTACAATGTTTTACTTCTTGATGCCGACTAAGATGGAAATTCAACGGAAGAAAAAGGAAATAGTTGAAATCATGCAGGAACTACTGCCTTCCATGAACACAAAAATTAATATTTTAATGGCCGTAAAATTCCTTAATAGAACCGATCAGTGACAAACCAGAAATATGTCCTCTGGTGGTGAAAGGACAGATCTTACATGGGGTCTGAATACGTTAAGGAGAGACATTAGCTCTTTTTATGAGGCATGAGGATATCGCCTCTACCTACTTGGTTTAGCTAATTATATCAAGATTAAGCTTTATCAAGTACACCTTAAGTTGCCATTAATCTTGGCTGTGTGGTAGATGGCACATTAAATGCTATCTAATAACCTGAATTCAGTGTAAAATTTAAGGAGTGACTGAACTTTTGCAATAAATCAGAATTTTATATAAATCCTCAACAAGGCATAAAGAAACAATTAAAAGTAAATATTTTCTGGCCCTGGATGTAGTGTTTGAGACACCCCTTGTTAACAGGCTACAGTATTAATAAATCCAATCTGTCAGAATCTGACTATCAGACACCAAACTACAATTTGCTGATTAGACTGAGCTGAATCAATATAAATGTGTTATAAAGCCCTCTGAGATGACAAAAACTGACACCAACACACTCAAAACACTGGACTCTATGGTATTGAACTAGCAGCAAGGCTTTTAGATGTTGTCTAGAAACATTGATTCCCTCTAAAAAATCCATTTAGCTTTTTTTCAGTCAGTTACTGAGTATTTACTGCTGGGTTTGGGACTTTAAATGCTTAATGCTTTCTATCAGATGTCTGCAATCATCAACCCTCCTATCTACATTTATCTACATGCCCCTTTTGCCCATTGAACTCCTTGGAGTTTTAGCATAATTATTAAGTGGCTCTTGCAGGCAGTTAATAGTTTATGATGATCAACCCCCATCAAAATGCATGAAAAAGTGATTTGCTCGAAGCATAATCCCGTTATTTTCACATAAAGACATGAAAACACGTACCATTAATGAAATAAGCTGTATAATGGCAGTTATTTAATGTTGTTGCTGTAAACCAGCTTAAAAACAATGCCTCTAAATAACTTAAAATAAACCAACTGGCCGTATCTAAGATCCATCTCTGTCCTATTTGCTGGTTAGAAATTTAAACCTTCCGAAACCTTAAGCTATCTATTTTTATTATGAGAAGGACTAAATCTTATAAATGTACTATGGAGCAGCAAAGAAGTATCATAAACTCCATGTGAGGTATTACTGCAGCAGTTTTACAGGAAAATAATGGTAACAATAAAACAAATAAATTAATAAGAAATTAAGGTTTTATCAGTTAAAGCTTAAAAATCTTTCAGCTTGCTTGTTTTATTCAACTTTAGGGGATTTAACTACAATTAAATACTCTAAGTTCTTATTTGATGGTACCGTTCCTCATTATCAAGTGATAAGTGCAAATCTTTCAGGGAGTTTTTATTCATTTTCTTCTAAAAATAAAAGGAAACCTATAGGTTCATTATGTGTGAGTGCAGAAAGAAGACAATGCCAACAGAACCTATTGATTTCTTTCATTTTATGTGATGATTCAGCTTGGAATAGAGTTATCTGGTGAAAAAGCTTAGGATAGTTTTTTAAATTTAAGTGTCAGCATGGGTACCTTGTCTGTGTCGATTCCTCTAGACATGGCCCAAGTGGAGACGATGAAGTCCATGACCCGCTCGCTCAGACCTTTGGGAACCTGATACAGCTTGAGGAAGTCGCGCACGTTGTTGAGCATCTCGTGGTATCGGTTTGTGTTGGTGTACATCTGCTGGAAGATGGTGGTGACGTTTCCAAAGATGGTGGCATACAGCAGCGCTTAGAGCAAAAATGATCAAAAAATGTAAAACAAAATCACTAAGATGATAGAGCAAACGTGTAATTAATTTTGAAAAATAGGAGGGAAGAATGTTCTTTATTCATAAGAATAATAGTGATATAAGATATTGTTACTATCTGGCAAAAAATAGCGGAGGGTGTACAGTAAACAAAAAGCAGTTTGTCAATTATTTATAGTTTCATATCATCACATTTATCTTTCCTCGTTTCACAGTCAGCATTGTGAGCAATTTTTACTTTGAATGGCACCAATTTAGAAACAACACAACCACACATAAATACAACTAGTGATGCTTTCAGTCCTTATGATATAATTTTCCCTGCACGTTTGTTCAGTAAGAGCGCTGTGCTGCTGTGACCTCAAAGAGTCAGTCAGTATCTCATATCGTGACGTTTTACCCACTCAAGGAGAAAAACTTTCCATTCACCACAGCAGGAGCACAGAGGTCAGGACACATATCTACAATGATGGCTCATTGTCCAATTCCTTCCCTGCAGCCTGCAGGCAGCTCTCCTCCCTTTACAATAGTTCCCGTGGTTAATTATCGTATCTGTAGCAGGAACTTTATCAGATGCAACTGAAGCTGACACGAGCATTGTTACTGAGGGAGTCTCGTAGCGACCGGGCCACCATCAGAGTAATGGGTGTTTATTTCGGGATGCACAAACCTCGGAGCGTGGCTGTCACTTTCTGAGTCCTCACTGGTTTTGTTGCATCACTTTTCATGCTGTTTTACAGTAGCTGCTTAAAGGTTAAAGGTACAGCGATGTTGCTCAATCAGTGGATGGTGAAAGTAACATATGCAGATATACTGACACAAGTTTATGTTAATTTAAACAAAAACTACAACACCGCCAACAGATTCCCATTTTTGAGTAGAGGTAATTTTACTAGACAGTAGTGTTAATTATATTTAACAAGGCAAATCTATAAAAAAAAAACAAAAAAAAACTAAGATTTGGGATAAATTTGTATTTTATTGAAAAGGGAAGAAAAATCCGATAATTAATTAAGTTAAAAAAAAAATCTAATAAACATATTATTTATAGATAGATAGATAGATAGATAGATAGATAGATAGATAGATAGATAGATAGATAGATAGATAGATAGATAGATAGATAGATAGAT